CGTTTGTTGTCCTCTTCTCCCTCTCTGCCTACGGTTTACCGGGCAGTTCTATTTGACGATATATATATATATATCGTCAAATAGAACTGCCCGGTAAACCGTAGGCAGAGAGGGAGAAAAGGACAACAAACGAGGGGCTATATATATATATATATATAGTTGCCAGGCCGAATGTACGGAGGCCCCTAAGCTGACCCCCGAAGGTTCGAGCGTTCGGGTCCCCGTACGGGGCCCGAACTCGAAGGGGTTCGGACCCCGCAAAAAATTATTTTGGTACCTAAAAATTATTATTTTTTTCTGATTTTTTTTTGTGAGTTCTCTGTAATGTGAGCTACCTGTCTCTCAATTTTGAAGTCATTCTGTAGAGCCAAACAATAATGAAAAATCGGCAAAGATGGTGGTGTCAAAACTTGCTTTCCCACTTACTAATTCATGTTTTTACTCTTCTCACTTTTTGTTTTCCCTTTATTTCGGGGCCTGAAAAAAATTATTATTTTTTCAAACTTTATTTGTAGGTTCTCCATTATGTAATATATATATGTATAAAATTTCATGGCATTTGACAAAGCCAAAAAAAAATGAAAAATCGCTAAAGATGGCGGTGTCAAAAACTTGCTCGCCCACGCAATAATTTCATTCTCGTTTTTTTTTTTCTTATTTTCATTAATATCATTTATTTTTCGTATTTGATTTTTATTTCAAATTTGGTAAGGAATTTGGATGTACTGTTGAGGCAAATGTTGTTTAGTTTATTCTTCTGCATGACATAGTTTGTTTTCAGAATTTTTGGAAACTTTTTTTTTTTTTTTTTTTTGGTTCCGCGTTCGGCCGAACGTCCGAACGCGTCGAGAGGGGGTCCCAAACGTTCGGGCGTTCGGGTTGGGGCGTTCGGCCCGTCCCGAACGCCGGTAATCCTGTATATATTGTCACATTGTGAATCAGAGCACAAAAAAGGGAAAAGAAAAAAGGAAAAGGAAAAAAGGGGGAGGGGGAAGAGGTAAGGAAAGCTAAACCTGTATATATAGATATATATCGTCAAATATATATATATATATATATATATATATATCGTCAAATAGAGAGAGAGAGAGAGAGAGAGAGAGAGAGAGAGAGAGAAAAAAAAAAAAAAAAAAAAAAAAAAAAAAAAAAAAAAAAAAAAAAAAAAAAAAAAAAACTTGCCTGTCCACCAAACTTGCACGGCAACAAAGAATAGATGTTTGAATCAGGCACTCAATGCGTCCACAATTAGAATTGACCGTGAGGGCACGCACCGTTTCGACTTGGGCCTTTTCCATGTCCATTTCGCCTGGGCCCAGGGCGCCCTAAAACTAAAAATGCCCTTGATGTTGAATGTTCGCAGCCTGTCAGGGTTGCGTTTTCCCCCCTGAGACATTTCAACGTCAATCAAATTTCAACGTCGGTGGTCGTCGGGAGGGTGGGCATTTTGAGGTTTTGGGGGCCAGGACCATGTAGGACCGGTAGCTGCGCGTAGGAGGGCGAGGAGGCTGCAGTCCTTTTTCGAAATTGAAATGGTCCGGGTCCACTTTTCTCGAATTGCAGAGTCCCTCGAATAGAAAACGTACATGTTGTATTCGAATACAACCTGTACCCTTTCTATTCAGATTTCAAAAAGAAAAAA